TCCCCAGCTGGATGTGGAATCGTGGAATTCTGGAGTGGTTTGGGTTGAGAGAGACCTTAAAGCCCAGCTCATTTCATTGTCCCATGGCAGGGACACCTCCCACTGTGCCAGGGTACTCCAAACCCTCCAGCCTGGCCTTGGGCACTGCCAGGGATCCAGGGGCAGCCACAGCTGCTCTGGGAATTCCATCCCAGGGAACAATTCCCAGTTCCCAATGTCCCATCCATCCCTGCCCTCTGTCAGTGAAGCCATTCCCTGTGTCCTGTCCCTCCCTGCCCTGTCCCCAGCCCCTCTCCAGCTCTCCTGGAGCACCTCCAGGCTCTGGAATCTCAACCCTTCACCTCCTAAAGCAACAAACTTATTTTTAAGTTTGCCTTGCCCGTGTTGGCTGGCAAAGCAAAGGGTGCCAGGCTGCCCCTCTGCTCCAGAACAGCTCCTGCAGCCTCTGCCAACCCCCACTGGGAGCTGGGTCCTTTCAAACTGAAAAAGAAGTGGGAAAAAAAATCCTTTTAGAACAACCATAGGGTCCCTGTGCCCCGGGCTGTGGTTTTCCCCACAGCCATGCTCTGCCAGTTCTGAAAAACGTCTCTGAATGAGCAATGGGAGAGGAAAGTCCCATTCAAGCTGAGGACAAACACATGACTAAAAAGAAACTGAATAGAAACAAGGTGGAAAAACCTCTCTAAGCTCTGATGCTTATCAGAACCGTGCACGTTTCTGGTAAGCGGCGGCAGGTGACGTGGCAGAACCGATGGTGCGGGGTTGGGGATTGGCAAGCACAGAGCTCCACATCTGGCTGGGCACGAGCACAGCTGGCCAGGAGGGCACCTGGGCTCTGCCAGCCACAGCGTGGGCACAGCCCCAGGGCAGTGCCCCGTGCTGGCAGCGCTGGGGACAGAGCTGGGGGCACCACCCAGGAAGGACAGCGAGGGGTGGGAGCGTGGGCAGGACAGGGAATGGAGCTGGGCAGGGGCTGGAGAATCCCTGAGGAGCCGGGAAGGGGCTGGAGAATCCCTGAGGAGCTGAGGGGGCCCAGCCTGGAGCAGGGACAGGAGCAGAGGGAACGGCCCCAGGCTGGGCCAGGGCATCTCAGGGTGGATATTTGGGAAAATTCCTTCCTGAAAAGGTTCTCCAGCCCTGGCACAGCTGCACAGGGCAGGGGTGGAGACCCCATTCCAGGAGGGATTTAAAACCCCTCTGGATGTGGCACTTGGGGACATGGGGCAGTGGTGGCCTTGATCTTTAAGGTCTTTTCCAACCTAAATAATTCTATGAAATACAGGTCAATACATAAATATATATATAAATATATATATATATAGCGTGTTTATATACAAACCCACCATATTCTGTAGTCCCCTGGTCACCCTTCACTTTTCAAACCCTTCCAGAAAAGGCACGTTTGTCCTGGGCTGGGCTGGCCCTTCCCAGTCTCCAAGGACGAGCTGGGGGTGACAGCTCCCTGCCCTCTTTCTCCACAGAATTCCCAGCCCCGGAGGCCGTGGAGGTGAAGGCCGAGCAGCAGGGCAGGTTCCTGGTGCGGTGGCAGCCCCCCCGGCACCGGAGCCCCCCGCTCTGGTTCATCCTGGAGTGGGTCTCCAGCTCCCAGCAGGGCCAGCAGGAGCAGCACTGCTGGGAGAGAGTGTCCCAGTGGGAGACGCACACCTACATCCAAGGTAGGGCAGCCCAGGAACCCCTTCTGTGGGTGGCACAGCTCAGTGGGGCCTCATCAACCCAAACCGGGACCTTATCAACCCAAATCAACCCAAACCGGGACCTTATCAACCCAAANTCAACCCAAACCGGGACCTTATCAACCCAAACCGGGACCTTATCAACCCAAACCAGGACCTTATCAACCCAAATCAGCACCTTATCAACCCAAATCAACCCAAACCGGGACCTTATCAACCCAAACCGGGACCTTATCAACCCAAACCGGGACCTTATCAACCCAAACTGGGACCTTATCAACCCAAATCAACCCAAACCGGGACCTTATCAACCCAAACCGGGACCTTATCAACCCAAATCAACCCAAATCGGGACCTTATCAACCCAAACTGGGACCTTCTCAACCCAACCCGGGACCTTATCAGTCCAAATCGGGACCTTATCAACCCAAATCGGGACCTTATCAACCCAAATCGGGACCTTGTCAACCCAAATTAGCACATTATCAACCCAAATCGGGACCCCATCGACCTCAATTGGGACCCCATCAACCCAAATCAGCACCTTATCAACCCAAATTGGGACCTTATCAACCCAAATCGGGACCTTATCAACCCAAATCGGGACCTTATCAACCCAAATCGGGACCTTATCAACCCAAATCAGCAATTTATCAACCAAAACCGGGACCTTATCAACCAAAACTGGGACCTTATCAGTCCAAATCGGGACCTTATCAACCCAAATCAACCCAAATCAACCCAAATCAACCCAAATCCCTATCAAGGCAGCTTGGTTTGAATTTGAGCCCCTGCCCGCTTGTTTCTGGGGGGCAGCGGGGCCACGAAGAGCCCTTAGGGAAGGAGGAGGAGGAGATTTGGAGATTTGGAGATTTGGAGATTTGGAGATCTGAGGGCGGACAGCGGGATTTGGGTGCCTGGCTGAAGGGAAGGAGGGGATGGCGAGGGGAAGAAAATGAAGAAACGGAATTCCGAATTCGTCTGGTGGAACGCCACCAGAGCCACCAAGGCCCAGCTGCTGTCCCCAGCAGCGAGGAGCCCCTGGCCCAGCCCGGGGTGGTCCCGGCAGCAGAACCCCGGGGCTGGAGGCAAATTTTGGGGGGCTTTTCCCAGCAGGGCCGGCGGCCGGAGCTGCCCCACGTGTGTCGCTGTTCGCGGTGTACCCCGGCGGGATCAGCGCGCCCAGCTCCGGCCCAGGTGAGGAAAATGAAAATCCCCTGCCCGGGGAAAAATAAAAATTCTCCTGCCCAGGGAAAGAATAAAAATTCTCCTAGCCAGGGAAAAAATAAAAATTCCCTGCCCAGGAAAAAAATAAAAATTCTCCTGCCCAGGGAAAGAATAAAAATTCTCCTGGCCAGGGAAAAATAAAAATTCTCCTGGAAAAAAAAAAAAATTTTTTGCCGCTCCTCCCCACAGCCTCAGCTCCGGGGAGTTCCTTGGGGTAGGAAAAGGGCAAAACCTGCCTGAGCAGGGCAGAAATAGAGAGGTTTAATCAATGTATTTGTGTAAAACCCAACTCAGATAGGAAAAAAAAGGGTTTAATCAATGTATCTGTGTAAAATCCATCTTGGGCAGGAAAAGAGAGTGTTTAATCAATGTATTTATGTAAAAAGGGAGGGTTTAA